GTTATGTTTCAAAACGAAATAAAGTGTATTGAAAAAAAAAATAAAAAATGAGATCTACCAACGAAAAAACACCTGCATTCAGGGGCGTGGCGGTGCATTTAAGTCAATGGCACCGCAGCCAGGCCCCTCGCCCACAGTGCGATCGCCTGCACCTGGAACCCATGCACATTAGTGTATGCGTTCCAGTCCAGTGGGATCCGCAAAAATGCATTTTTGCAGATCACACTGGACCGGAATGCAGGCACTAATCTGCCTGAGTTCCGGTTGCAGGCGATCGCACTGTGGGCAGGGGACATGGCTCCGGTGCCATTGACTTCAATACAACCTCACGCCCCCTCCCTCCCCTGAACACAGTGAGTCGGGCGCCTTGCATTACAGTGCGTTCTAGAGGCCTCGGCGTCCTGTCCTCTCGTGGTGCTCGTGTGGCCGACGTTGCACATATGGAGGTGTCCTGCCCCTTTTCATCTGCAGCGTCTGACACATTCAGCCGAGAGCCGCACGAACACCGCGGGAGGATAGCCAGCTCCTTTTTGCGCCCGTGACAAGAAAAAAAAGTGGCCCCCAACAGGCGTGTGACGTCACCCAGCGCCCTGCCTCCAGGATTTTTTATTTTTATTATTTCCTATTTAAATTTGTATTTTTTATATTTTAATATTTTTTTACTGTTGTTTTGGGGGGGCTTTGGGGAATTATTAGGGATCTAAACAGCCCCCTGATATTTTTCTTTTAACCCCTTCATGACTGAGGCCCTTTTTTCAATTTTTGCACCCATGTTATATTCCACATTTTAGGCCTGAAAATGACGTAAAACCCCCCAACATTAAAATTCTCTTTTTCTGCAGCCTCTGGTCTAAATGAATGAAAAGCACAGAGGCTTCCCATTCATTCAGAAACTATTCACTATCATCCAGTTACTGAATGGGGAGGAGCCTCTGTACAGAGTGCTACTCCCCATTGCGAAACACATGAATGAACAGGAAGTGATGTAAATCGCATCCTGTTCATTCATAACTGGGGACACATAGTACTATGTGTCCCCAGTCATTTACAAACACTGGAGTGATCAGTTTGTCCTGCACAGAGGATTGGTACATATCACTGATATGTACCGATCCTCTGCTGCTCGGCCACGCACACAAGGGAGCGGCAACTTCTCCTCTGGATCCCCCCTGCTCTCCCGGGCAGAAGCAGTGGGGGATCCGAGGAGAAGTGAAGCCGCCGGCTGACAGATCCAGGCTGAGCGGCTCTCTCTCTCCCTCCTCACCGCTCGGCCTAGAGAGACACAGGGCAAGTCAATGCACGCAGCCAGGAGCATGCACGTTGGACAAACACCATGGGAAACAGAAGAGAGGAGTCAGCGCTGGATCAGAAACCGGCACCAGCACTGGAGGGACAGCGGAAAACTACAGGAAAGAAGATGATAGAAGCAAGAGGCATCATTTAAGGTAAGTCCCTAAAGAAGCATGAGGGGGGATTGTCACTTTAAACTTGGGCTGCACCGATACCGGAATATCGGTATCGAGTACAAGTACCAATATTTTGTTGTTGGTACTCGCCAATACAGGTGCTTCGCCTGGCATGGAGCCGGCTTCCAGGGCAACCAGGAAACCAGGCAGCGGGTAATGACTCTGCTTCCCAGGAAGTCTGCTCCATGTTTGGCCAGCTCGATGCTGATTGGCAGGGAAGCCGGTTTCCTAGCCAAACAGCATAGAGCTGGCCGAACAGCCAATGAGGAAGCCGGGTCATTACTTGCTGCCCGGCTTCCATGTTCCCCTACAGCACTCTGAAGCTCCGGTAGCGGGGAAGGTATCGGAACATTTGGGAGTACTTGAATGAACGCACCCCCCTCCCTTCTTCAGCTCCCCCACTCTCAATGGAGCACTGCACACAGTTTACCCGCCAAAAATAAATATTAATATTTTTTTATTTAAAGGTTCCCCAACACCAGACCTGACCGCCTCTACCCACCCATCCCGGGCCTGACCACCTGCACTCGCCCATACTAGGATGGACCTGTACCCACCCCCAACACCAGACCAACTGCACTCACCCATACTAGGCCTGACTTCCTGTACCCACTCACCCATACAAGGACAGACCTGTACCGATCCCTTCATACCAGGCCTGACCACCTGTACCCACCCCCAACACCAGACCTGACCATCTGTACCCACCCATACCAGGCCTGACTTCCCGTACCCACTCACCCATACAAGGACGGACCTATACCCACCCCCTCATACCAGGCCTGACCTGTACCCAATATCAGGCCTAACCACCTGGACCCAGCCCCTCATACCAGGCCTGACCTCTTGGACCCAGCACCATCCACCAGGCCTGACCGCTTGGACCCAGCACCATCTACCAGGCCTGACCTCGTGGACCCTCCATCATCTGCCAGACCTTCCCAACCCTCCATACCAGGCTTGCCCAACCTTTCCACCCTACTGCCCAATACCTGCCCTGACGTCATGCACAAAACACTAGTGCTATACCATACAAGAACTCTTATCCTCCGCCCCCCCAGTCATAACAGGGCTGATCTGTCATCTCTCTGCCCGCCCTTCCCTCACCTTCCTTGCGCAGGGCTCCGATCTGTGAGCCGGGGGCCGCTATGTAGTCTCTGTCGGTGATGACTCTGACGCGGACTCCTCGGTTGTGGAGCATTAGGACGGCCCGGGCCAGCGGCGGGCAGGAGAAGGTGAAGACACAGAGGGCCACGCTGCTCCGGGCCTCCAGCAGGCGCCTCATGAGCCTTTGCAGGGCGCTGTTCTTGTGAGGTAGGGGGCACATGCACCGCAGTCCGGGGCTCAAAACCTCCTCGGTGCACGTCAATGGCTCCGGGAAGAACAGAACCTCCCTCACAATCCCCCGCCGCCTACACTCTCAATGGAGCACTGCACACAGTTTACCCCCCAAAAATAAATATTAATATTTTTTTATTTAAAGGTTCCCCAACACCAGACCTGACCGCCTCTACCCACCCATCCCGGGCCTGACCACCTGCACTCGCCCATACTAGGATGGACCTGTACCCACCCCCAACACCAGACCAACTGCACTCACCCATACTAGGCCTGACTTCCTGTACCCACTCACCCATACAAGGACAGACCTGTACCGATCCCTTCATACCAGGCCTGACCACCTGTACCCACCCCCAACACCAGACCTGACCATCTGTACCCACCCATACCAGGCCTGACTTCCCGTACCCACTCACCCATACAAGGACGGACCTATACCCACCCCCTCATACCAGGCCTGACCTGTACCCAATATCAGGCCTAACCACCTGGACCCAGCCCCTCATACCAGGCCTGACCTCTTGGACCCAGCACCATCCACCAGGCCTGACCGCTTGGACCCAGCACCATCTACCAGGCCTGACCTCGTGGACCCTCCATCATCTGCCAGACCTTCCCAACCCTCCATACCAGGCTTGCCCAACCTTTCCACCCTACTGCCCAATACCTGCCCTGACGTCATGCACAAAACACTAGTGCTATACCATACAAGAACTCTTATCCTCCGCCCCCCCAGTCATAACAGGGCTGATCTGTCATCTCTCTGCCCGCCCTTCCCTCACCTTCCTTGCGCAGGGCTCCGATCTGTGAGCCGGGGGCCGCTATGTAGTCTCTGTCGGTGATGACTCTGACGCGGACTCCTCGGTTGTGGAGCATTAGGACGGCCCGGGCCAGCGGCGGGCAGGAGAAGGTGAAGACACAGAGGGCCACGCTGCTCCGGGCCTCCAGCAGGCGCCTCATGAGCCTTTGCAGGGCGCTGTTCTTGTGAGGTAGGGGGCACATGCACCGCAGTCCGGGGCTCAAAACCTCCTCGGTGCACGTCAATGGCTCCGGGAAGAACAGAACCTCCCTCACAATCCCCCGCCGCCTCCTCCTCCAGTAGCGGTACAGACCCTCCAGACCCACCGACACGGCCGCCATGCACAGCAACTTCCACCACACCGCGGACACCATAATGACGAGGGGGCGTGGCCGCAGGAAGGCGGGAAGAGCGAGAGCCGTAGAGGCGGGAAAACCTGTGCCAG